GGCCTTCCGCTCACGGGTCTGCCGCTTTTGTGGACTTGGGGCTCCTTGAGGGGATACCTGCCTTTTGTTCCACCTCTGAGCTGGCCCGGGGGACAGCAGGGAGCAGAGAGGACCCCGGACGGCTGGCAGTAAGGGGTGGGGTGCCCAAGGAGCTCGTCAAGGGCCCCCCCAGGGTGCCCGACCCTCAGACCAAGGCGTGTGGGGCTCAGGCTAGGCAGCGTCATGGAGGGCTGGGGACACAGCAGTGCCAGGAAAAGAGCAGACTGGAATCCATACATCGTTTTCCTGGGAAGAGTCAAGAGAGGGGCAAAGGGCAGGGGCTGAGGCCCTGGGGCGCAGGGTCGGCCCCCAGTCTGGCTGGACCCTCCCGCATTCCTCTTTCCACAGCCCCTGGTGCCCAGAAGGGAGGTGGGAGGGGAACGGTGTCACCCGTTTCCTAAGATCTCCTCCTACAAGGGCAGAACCCGAGGGTGATGGGCCGGAAGAGGAGGGAGCCCCGTCAGCTCAGCGTGGGGGGTCGGAGGGCCTCTGGGGGCCTCCACGTCACTGTCTCTGTAGCGCTGTCTCTGGGTCCCTGACCGTCAGGCTGCTGTGCGGTTTGGATCCGTCAGGGCCCCACAGGCCTACCAAAGGGAGGCGAGGGGTCGCATTTGCTGAAGGACTGAGTGCAGAGGGGTGGGCAGGGCCAGGAGCCATCACCTTCCTGGGACGAAGGGCAGGAGAGAGGTGCTGTTGGAACCAGCAGGACACGTGAGCGCTGCGGCCCAGAGCCCGGGTGGAGGGGGCACTGCCCTCTCCCTGCCCCACCACCCTCTGCTCTCCAGCCTGTGCCCGGAAGCCAGAGGGCGAGGTGGCCACGTCACGTGTGCAGGCCACAGCACCAGCCCCCAGGTCAGAGCAGGGCACAGAAGGGACCCCAGCGCCTAGTGGGTCCAGCGCCAGCAAGCCACGCCCATTGATTGACTCAAATCGATAAACAGGCATAGAACACATTCCATTTTGATGAAAACATCACCAAACAGCAGATTCCGAGAGCCGAGGGCCTCGCCTGGGGCCGCTCACGCCCCTCTGAGGACCTGCCCCGATGGGAAGGGGAGAAGCCCGCATCTCCCGTTGTCCGCCCTGGGCCTCAGGCCTCCCCACCAGGCCAGCACTGCCCTTCTGAGAGTGCTGTAGCGTAGCAACGGCCATCCTGGGGCCGGGATGGGGCAGGTAAGGCCAAGGGGTGGAGAGGACTGCTAGGTCAGGAGCTGGGGAGGGGTCTGTGGGTTGTCGAGGGTCTCTGGCTGAGTATGGACCAAGGATGGACAAGGACTAGTGGAGAGAAAGGCTGGGTGAGAGAAGCGGAGGCTGGGGGGAGGGGAGGGACCTAGTGACACATAAGGGAGCAGGCGGAGAGGGGACCTCGAGCTGGAGACGAGACAGCAGGAGCAGCACTGGGTGACACCAGAGGTTGGTGGGGGGAGGGCGGCCACCGCAGATCTGGAGGGGGCCAGTCCCCACTCCTGCTGTGCAAATGCCCCACACCCCCATGGTTCTGGAGTATCCTTAGGACCGAGGGACCACTCAAGGCCAGGACACCATCACCCGCAGTGACCAGAAAAGGACGCAGCCCCGGTGCGCAGAGGTCTCTAGCTGTGGCGGGGGGTGGGGGCGGAGGTAGGGGCGAGGACCCAGATCAGAGCCAAACTGCTCCCGGCCAGAGGGTCAGTGCAAAACTTGGAAAGCAGACAACAGGTCAGATGTGACCTTAGCCAGGGCCGGGACCCCACAGCTGGAGCACGTCTGGGCTCCAAAGGGCCACATTCGCCGCTTAAGGGTGTAAAGGAAGCATCGGACCAGTGAGTCCAGTACTGATCCAACGCGGGCCCCCAGGAAGGCTCCGCCGGACCGAAGCAGTCAGTGCAAAGGGGACAGGTGCTCCTGAAGGGGAGCCACCCCCTTTCCTAGAGACGTTCTCAAAGTGGAGTCCCCCTGCACCCCATGGCCCTGGCTGGCTCCAGGCCCCAAGGCTGTGTGGTGAGGCGTGAGCCCCTCGCCCTCCGCCCTCCAAAGCTGCCTGGCCCAGCCTGCCCAGCCCGGGAAGCTGGGTCAGCTGTCTGGCTCAGGGCCATGAGCTCGGTCTTAGGCCAGGGGAGGGACTGTCAGGGGACCTGCTGGGATGACGACTTTAATTAATCTGCAATATGTTGTGTCTTGGACAAAGGCAGGCTGCCCAGCCAGACAGCCCTGGTTCAAATCCTGCTGTGTGGCCTTGGGCAAGTTAGTGAACCTCTCTGTGCCTCTTATCTTTAACTTGCTGAGGCTGGCTTCCTTCTCTTCCTTTGCCTCTCCTCCCCACCATGTCCCTGTGGCCTTGGGACTAAGCAGTTCGGCAGTCCTCATAGGGTGCCCAGGGCTGCCCGCTCGGGTCCACACAAGCCCACCGAGCCCAAGGAGGGGTCGACACCTGCCAGGTGGGCGGAAAGGCCCCGCCCAACTGTGGCAGTCTGCCAAGAACCAATTCCACCAGGGTGAGTGGGACCTGCCCCCTACTCCTCTCACTGCCCTCTACCTTCACCACCCTTCCCCGCTTAATCGCATCCCAGCTGCTCCATCTTCCTTGTGGTCACATTTCACTAGCATGGAGAGGCTGGGGTGGTGGTGGGGTAGATGGGGGGTGGACAGCATCCCACGTCTCCCTACATGTCCCTGCCTTCATCAAGGAGGGGGTCTTTTGGGGGGGAGAGTATAGCTCAGCGGTAGGGTGAATGATAACCGTGCATGAGGTCCTAGGCTCAATCTCCAGTACCTACATCAATAAAATATATACATATGTAATATATACATACATTTAAAAATAAATAAATAAATCTAATTACCCCACACACACCAAAAAAAAAAAAAAAGGAGGGGTTCTTTCTTGTGTTCCTTGTGAGCTTGGTCCTTGCAGGGAGGAGGCCAGAAAGCCCTCTCACCCCTCCCCCAACCTGTCTGCTCCTGGATTTGGGTTTGCTCGGATCGCCGATTCACTAAAGAAAATTTCCAGGTAGAGCGAGGTCAGCTCTGCCACCAACAGGCTGCGTGGACCCTAAAAGGGCCAAGGAAGTCACCTTTGTGTCTAGCAAAACATCATCATTCATCTGTCATCCAGCACTCGTCCTGCCTGAAGAGCCCCCACCCCACCTGCCTCCTATCATTGACCCGTGTCTCCTGCACAGCAGTTGGACCGCCTGAGTCAGAACCATCTGGGGTACTCACCGGTCGGGCCCACTCCCAGCCACTGTCCAGCACGGGATCTCACCTGGGGCCCCGAGAAGGCCCGCAGTGCAGTAACGCGCTGTTGGGGACCCGGCCATCGGGCGCCGTGCCCTCACTGCTCCCGCGGATGCAGAGGCCTGAGCAGGGGCATGCTTTGCCTGAGTGCTGATCCCCCACCGAGCCCCAAAGGACAAGGCTCAGAGCGCCAGAATTATGGGAATGGGGGCTGTGCCGCTTTACAGCACAGGAGTCCGGGGAGCAGGGTCCCCAAGCACGAGGCAACTTCTCCCTTTGGGGGACCAGCGAGATCCTGGCCACTTGTCTCAAGAACAGCTCCAAAGGTGGGGAGGTGGCCCCGATCCCCCACCCCCACGGCCATCCTCTCCTGCCTCTCCTTTCAGGCTCCCAAGGACCCCTTCTCCCAACAGGTCTCCAAGTCTGCACTCAGGACTCCCCCTTCCCTCACCTCTACTGTGTAAGAGACCCCAGCTGGAAGCACCCAAGAGACTCCTGCACCCAGGCCACACAGCAAGAGACCCTGATGGGGGTGCAGGGATGGCTGAAGCACCCTCATCCCTACTGTCGCTGCTCCTAGCACTGGGGCTGCCGAAGTCCTAAACTGCACAGCAGACAGCATTCATGCTAATGGTCTTTAGGGGCCCTCCTTCACCCAGGCCCCCTCCTCCCAGCCAGGAAAATTATTAATTCCCATCCGCCAAGTTTACTTCTGGTAAAGTTTGCCATTAACTCGGCCAGCCAGGGGCCCAGAATAAAACGGGGAGGCAGGCAGAGGTCTGGGGCAGTCCTAGCGGGGGGTGTGGGGGGCATCAGGTGGAGACTCCATGATCCTTAGGCGTCTGGAGGGCCGGGGGGATTAGGAGGCGGTTCCCCAGCCCCCACCCACCCATGGCAGCAGGTGGCAGGAGGGGACAAGGCTGCCTCAGCCCCCGTCTTCCTGCCAGCTTTGGGTGTGTGATGCTAAACTCTGTGTGTATGTGTGAGTGCGCTGTGCACGGAGGAGACGGGCTGGGCTGGGAGCCCCGGCCCTGACAGTGTCCACAAGTGGCCGACGAAGCTGACGGTCTGGACTCTAGGTCAGAATGGCAGGAGCTGGTGGCCGAAGATCGCAGGACCAGCAGGGCCAGAGTGTGTTTCAGCTTTTCCCGATACTCCGCCCCACAGTCCCCAGCCCTGGTCCTTCCTGCACTGTCTTTCCCTCTTTTGTAGGAAGCCAGGCCCCTCCACCTTCAAGGCTGGATTCCAGTCTCCCGCAGGCGTTCCCCCCTCTCAAGAGTCCGCTCTGGGCTGTGGCTGGGCCTGGAATGTTGCCGTCACGATCCTGGCTTCTCCAAGTGGCCTGAGGGCTGTCTGTGGGTTGAGGAGGGGGAGAGGGGTGCAGAAGGAAACCAGGGAGACACACCCGCAGAGACTGTCTGGGCCCTCAGGCCTCGGCAGTGCACGCGGTGCCCTGCTTAAGCACACAGCGCTGGGACTGGACAGGTGGGCCCTCTCGAGGCTGCAGAAACAGACATCTGATACACACACACACAGACACACACACACAGACACACACACACACACACACACACACACACAGCTACACGGCCAGAAGGGGGACAGCGGTGTGGCAGGGCTCCCGACGCGAGGGAGACCCCAGAGGCAACAGGCAGGCTGTTTCTGGACTCCCTGCCCGTTTGCCCGCGGGATGGAGTTGGGTGGTGGGGGAAGCCACTATGCCCAAGGTCCCAGGGTCTCAGGAGACAGTCCTGCCCAGCAGGCTTCCCCAGCCCACTGTGCAGCAGCCAGGGACAGAAGGGCAAGGCCTCGGAGTGACTTTTCACCGCTTTTTAAAAGGCAGCCCAGAATGTCACCTCCTGCCAGCCTAAGGCCTTGGCCGCAACTCGTTTCCTCTGCGTTTCCTGCTACCCCAGGTCCAGTTTCATCTCCGCCACTCCCTGTCCCTCCCAGTGGAGGGGCTGCAGCCCTAACCCCTTCAATGACACCCTCTCCACCCCCTCTCAAACCCCAGAAGTACTTAGAAACATAAATTAAAATAAATCGCATTTTTAAATCGCAAAATAGGGGCCATTTTATAGTTTTTATTGCATAAGAGCCATTAATGAAGTGTAGTCCCCGCCACCTTAATTGCCTGGGGACTAAAGTTCAATTCCCGTGTCCATGCAGGCCGGGGACCTGGGCGTCACATCCACGCACCTGGCGCAACAACAAGGGTAAATAAATTTATGGGCAGGATGAGGGGCTTCGGGGAGGTTCTGGAGGCTGCGTGGTGGAGCCCCTGCCTCCTGGGTGAGGGGTCAGGGGTTCCTGGGGACTAATGGACATGGAGAGGCCTCTCCGCCTGCCCCTCCCGCCTTCCTGACCATGGAGGGAGAATGGGGAGACGCCAACCCAGGCTGGACAGTGTGAGGGCCCCTGGCTGCCCCACTACACTCACCCCCACCCCCCAGTGACACAGGAGCAGAACAGGACCAACTGGGTGAGGCCGACGCAGGGAGGCCCTGACCAGCTGTCCCGCCTGGCTTTCCCCCCAGCCCCTCCTGGGCACGGCCACGGCCACTTTCCTGGGCTTCCTGCCCCACTGGGGGAGGGGCCAGGATGGCCAGGGTCCCCTCCTCTTTCCACGGCATGCAGCAGGAGTCCAAGGGGTTGAAGCTGGAGGATCATATGTGTAGTGAGCCATCGGTGTCCCCCACCCAAACCTCCCTGGCCAGACAGGTGGACCCGCAACTGCTGGCCGCTTTGAAGCCACTGATCAGCCCTATGGGTGGGGGAGCAGCATTAGGGAACAGGACTACATGCCCAACAGAGTGCAGAGGCCAGCAGGGGCCTGACTGCCCACGGAGAGGGGCCAGACTCCCTCTCCAGACCACTCATCCCATCCCCCAGGGCCCAGGCCCATTAATCTTTAACTGCCTCTGGTCTAGAGCTGACCCCAAAAGCAAACAGGGGTAGGATTCCAGGAGAAGAGACACCCCAGTGAGGGGTCGCCCGGAGGGGCTGGGAGCGGGGATGCAGCTGGGGTGGGGATGCAGTGGCGGTGCGGTAAAACGCTCCCTCTTGCCCCCACCCCTACCGATGCTGGAGGAGACCACTACTCCCCAGTTCAGAGAGCTGCGACCTTTCCCAGGGGCGATGGGGGCTGGGGCAAGGCCCCAACCGGAGGCAGATTTGGGAGCCAGACAGAGGTTTTGAAGGCCGAGGTGGGGGGGCTGGGGCCAGAGCAGGGGAGGTGGTCCTCTGCCTGAGGGCAGAGGCGTCCCTGGAGAAAGCAGGGGAGGGGGCGCTTCCTCCAGAAATCCGCTGGGCTATTGTTATGCTTTCCGAGACCAGGGAATTTTTCCAGGAGGTTGTGACAACCCAAAATAATAATAATAACGCCCCTCCCCCAGCAGCAGGAATTCTGGAAAAAGCAGCTGCTGCCGCTCTCGGGCCGAGAGAAAAACAAGGTCAGGCGCTGCGAAGATTCAATTTAAGGCGCGCACCCGCAGCCCGCCAGCCACGCACCGGAACGCATGTCGCCCTCCCGGCGC